TTTCCAATACTTTTTTTTTTTTTGTTAAAATTGCACACATAAATTACAGTGGGTTTGTTTGTTTGGTGGTGAGTTTTTTAGTTGGTTAGTTGGGGTTTTCTTTCATACTGTAAAAAATTACAGCTTAAAAACCTTGAAAAGCTGTTCAAGAGCAACTTAGGTATCTGGGAAACAAAGTTCTATTAGAATTTTAACATGACTCAGCATCTTTTGAAAAAAAATAAATAGATATGAGCCCTGGAAGAGAGTACGCAAAATGCATTAGCAAAAGAGCAATTCTGAGCTGACAGGAAAATTGAAAGCTGTGAAAGGAGCCACGTTAGAACCTGCACTTATTCAACTGACTACAAGGGGCTCATCATAGCTATGAGTGCTTTTTGTGGAGCAGGTAGGCAATTAAAAAAAACACCTGTAACTACAAACCCAACTCAGCAAAACATCCTGCTGGGGGCAGCCTGTCTGGTCCACTCTGGAACACTTCCTGTTCCAGCTGCTGTTCCTGATAAAACAGACCAGCCTCAGAATCCCCAAGCCAGCCCTAGCCTCTGGTTTTCTCTGGTGGGTGTAGCACAAGGCATTCCAGCTCTGGGTTGTGAATGCAGATAGACACCCATGTGTCTCTAGATTTAAATATATTGAGGTGAATATAAAGGAAGGAGAAGAAAAGGAAGTAGAGGAGATGAAAATTACCACATCAGAGCCTTTTGCTGCTGTATAGGGATAAAAATGTATTGCTTGTGACTCCATTCAAATGAGAATCCGCTCTTAAAAGAGTTTACTACCATCTATCTTGTTTGTGCAGTTGGGTACTTCAGAAGACTTTGCTGGAATGGAGCAGGAAAGTAATTAGATCATTAGCCAAAGCTTTAAAATCACCATTTTTTTTTGCTATGGAAAGATTATTAGCACTCTCACAAAGATTACTGAATTGAAACTAGAAACTCATCTTAAAACCACCTTTAATTGTGAGAACCCCTGGGCAGGTGCTGTTGGGGTGACCACCTTCCCAAGAGTGATCCCCTCTCAATCAAAATGACCAGCTCCCTCAGCCCACCTAGCACTCGAGCCCGGATTAATAATAGAGCCTGACCAGAAAGACGGGACTCCTCATTTGGTAGATCAAGCAGGTTTTATTGAAGGAAGGTCTGAGGGTCCAGGTGGGGTAAGGGTGAGGAGACCACACAGGAGTACAACCTGACCTGAAGCACACCAAGCCAAGAACAGGGGCAGGGCCAGGGCATATAACTGGGGGAAGGTAGGCGGGGTTAGGGTACAAACAAGCCAATGGGATTGGGGAAGAAGGGAGGAGCTGGGATAGGGTGACCCAATGACAACCAGTGAGGGAGTGGAGGGGAGTGGAGTGGAGTGGGAGTGGGAGTGGGAGTGGGAGTGGGAGTGGGAGTGGGAGTGGGAGTGGGAGTGGGAGTGGGAGTGGGAGTGGGAGTGGGAGTGGGAGTGGAGTCTCAGGGAGGGCCAATGGGGGAACAGGAGGGGTAGAAGTTTCTGGAACCAGGGGAGGAACAGCAACAGATTTACAGACATACATTTGCATGGTCAAACAAAGGATCATAGGAAGTCTCTCACCCTGATCTCCACAATAGTGTCTTCCCATGGCATTCTACCTCTGTTCTCCCCATGGCCATCTCCTGCATTTGATGAGAATCTTGCACAAAGCACAATAAAGCATAAAAGTGCCTGTGGAATCCCATTTTCTTCTGCATGTGCTTCCCAATTGCTCTCTTTGCTAATGGGTCACCTGGCATGTGTCTTCTTCGGAGCAGCTGAACTAGGGTATTTTAGGAGGACATCAGGGATCCAAAGATTTCTTAAAAGATGTGCTGATGCCATAACCAGTTTCTTGAAGGGAGAAATCACTCCATCTCTATTTCACCTTGTGGTCACTTGCACTACAGAAACATGACTTGACCCACCAGCCAGAATCAGCCTCAGCAACCTGCTCCTGACAGAAGTTAGCACTGGAGAAAAATTCAAAGATACTAATTTATGGACAGTATAGAAATGATAGCTTTATATAAAGTTGCTGTTGTTCATTCCATTCATTTGAAATTTGACTTAACTCTGAAACCTGAGGATTTATATACCATTTAAATGTTTAGTAAATTAGGGTACTCCATATCTTTCTGAATACTGAATGTCTGTCAGAGGTCAATTATGTGCTTTGTGATGCTTGTATGATTATTTTCTCTAATATTTTTTTATTCTTAACCTTTTAACCTTTCTTTTCTTTTATTTTCCATTAACAAACCCATTCTAGCTAAGGCCTACATTATTTAAAAGTAAATTCCATTATCATTTTATCTAACTTCCTTTATATTGAAGGAAGGTTCACTGATCTACAGTGATTTGAATTTAAAAATCCCTCCCAAAATACAATAAAAAGAACCTCTAAAACCTCTTGTAAAAAGAGCTAGCCATAGCAGGATTGCAATGAAAGGTAAGGTGGTTGAAACAAGGATAAATAGCCTGGGAGGAATACAAAGAGATTATCTGGCCAGTCCAGTGAAGTTTCATTTCAGAGGTGGCCAAAGGTGACTTCCTACAGCTCAGTCTTTCCATGTGCTGTGGAGACTCAGTAAGTTACAAAAAGGACGCCAGTAGGACATGTTTCTCTCCAAAGGCACCATAAACACTTGAAAGAATGACTTTATCAATTTTATTGGACAACTTCTGTCTTTCTAAATTCAAAACTTTTCAATAAAACTAAAAAAAAATCACAAAATCAATTTTAAGGTATGTTTTTCATATTGCCTGAATTATACTACAAATAGCCTTTCTTGGGCTCCAGGCAGAAGAGCTCATGAGCTTTCAACACATCCCAGATCCAGTGGGCTTCACTAATTATTCATATCTACACACCTCCTATCTACCAACTAAACATCCACAAACGCACTAAAGAAAGTGAATTAAAGTGAAAAAGTTTAACTGTAGCACACGAAATCCAGGCTCACTGATACCCTGTTGTTCTGCAGCTGCTGTCTTTTACTGCTGGTTTCTTTGTATTATCTTTGGCTTGGTCAGCCCAGGAGACAAAAGACTCTTCCCTGAATGAAGGGTCAGTTATTCTGAAGAAAATCCACAGAAACCTATGTGGACATAGCACCTCCTGAACAGCAATTAGACTTGGACACGAAGACTATATTTATAAATCTGGTGGGTTATGGTTGTGTTTGTGGGTCCCAGGATGAGGGACAAGATGAGAATCTTGACTCCATGTTTCAGAAGGCTGATTTATTATATTATGATATTATATTAAAATGCTATGCTAAAACTATACTAAAAAGAAAAGAGAGAAAGGATCCATCAGAAGGCTGGAAAGGAAAGCAAAGGAAGGATAATAAAATCTTGTGACTGCTCACAGCCTTGACACAGGTGGCTGTCATTGGTCATCAAGTAAAACCAGTTTCACATGCTGGGTAAACAATTCTCCAAATCACAAAACATGGAGAAGCTGAAGCTTCCCAGCTTCTCAGGAGAAAAGATCCTGGCAAAAGGATTTTTCATAAAATATGTCTGTGACAGTGGGTAAATTTATGGCAGCACTTAAAAATGACTGTTTTAATAAAATGAGAGATGCTAGGGTGGATTCCCCCCACCCCCCACGCTTTATAGTTTTGTGGCCAGACTGCTGTGGTAATTGGGGACTCATTATCCTGATCTTCACCAGTTTTTTTTTTTTTTTTCCTTTTTTTATTGTTCAAACAGAGGGGTTTTTTTCCATCTTCCATTTATTTTATGGATTTTGATCTTACTAGCAGGTTAGAAAGCCTTGTTTAATTCTCCTATGTGTTAGGAACAAAGAAGAGAACTAATTAAAGAAAAAATGGGAAGTACAAAGAAGATCTGGTTTGGGGAGGTTGGGAATGGGAAGAAGTAGCACAACAACAATAACTGCCAATAAATGCACACCTCATCAGCAAGCAGAGTTATTATTCAAAGCAGAATTCTCTTACTCCAGTAGGTCTGCCTTTCCTTATTTGGGTTTGGAAAAGAGTTTCTAACCCTATTCTCATGAGGCCCTGACACATCTAAATTTCCTGTGTAGTAACTTTTGGTCATATTGTGCCTGAAAGAAATTCTCACATTATATCCAAACACAGGAATTATTTATGTTGCAGTTTCCTCTCTTTCCCCCTTTTTCACTGAATTTCTTCACCCAGCTTTACAGTATTTTTCAAGACTAAATCCTTATCATTTAAGGCATTGCTGGAAACTACGTGATCCATTAGCAGCTCACATCCCATTCACTTCTTTGCATTCATGTTGTACTAAGAGTGAAAATGATGCTGTATCCAGAGGAACAATAGATTTGCTAGCTTCATTTGAATACAAAACAATTAATTTTAAAACAGGCATAAATTTACACGTTATTTCTCAGAAAATTGAATGGAGTTATTTGCTTTGACTGAACAAAGGCACAAAGGATCATATTGGCCATGCACTTAAGCCCCCCCGTTGTCAAATAGTTGTTCTTGGCCAGTCTTCCGTTACTGTAGAGCTATAAGATACTTCTAAGAAGTTTGAGGACATTTGTTCTGACCTGCAGTAATACGGAAAGAATTTGGAAAAAAGCCTAGCTGCAAAAATTAACTTTCTTAACATTAAACACCACAGTTATTGTCATGATCTGACAGCGATTTCCAGTAGATGAGAAAACCAGAACCTGTAAATTATCAGCTGCATGGTGCTTCGTGAGACCAACAGGACAGAGAGGCAAAGAAAAATGTGGGAGACCCATGTTTAATGCTCCCTTCTCTACTACAAAGGGAGCCCACATGTTCTGTTATCCCTGACAAGCAAGCTTTTCCACTGAAAAACAAGAAAAGTTATTTTCTTGTTTAAAGAGAAGTGAGAGTGAGAAATCAAGAAAGGGGAAATTCCCTGGAGTTAGGGAGTTACTATACTAAGATTGTTTTTGCTAATATAAAACTTATTGCAAAAATTAAACAGAGAGAAGGAACAAGAGGTTTCCAGAAACTTACCTCTGGCAGGACAAGGAACAGCATTTCCTGTGTTTTTTTGTTCTGAACAAATCCAGATGGACAATGTTGTGAAGATGGTGTGAGAAAGCCTGTACTGCTGTTTCCCATGAAGCATTTTTCACACATTTTGGTCTATAGGGTGCTATATTCATAAGAATTCAAATGACCTAAAAATAAAATAAGCAAAAATTTCTTTGGGAAAATTCCAGCTATCCACAAACATTGTCTGGATTCCAGTAAATCAAGCCCATGCCACACTGTAACTATGCCACATTTCACTTTGACAGGCAGATTTTTTATTTTTCACTTTTTGAGTTTGTTGGATTTTTTTTCTTTTTTATGATCTTGGATGTTTTTTACTATTAACTGAGGAAAAACTTATAATAGAAGCATTATTCCTCTTCATTTCATTATGAATTAACTCCTGATTCTTTGTGAAATCTCCCAAGAGTTATTCTTATGTAATGGGTTACATCAGAAAGCTCTGATTTAGAGTCTTATGTGATTAAACACTACATTCTATAAACAGAGCAACACAACTTCCTTTAAAATATTAATAATGAAATTTCATTATGGAAATTAATTCTCATAGGCATAAAAATAATATTTTATTGCCATCTAATAAGGATTTGTGCAGACAAAAATTTGTCATCATTCAGCAGTACAAAAGATGATTTTTCTTTCTTGCAAACACAGTTTTGAAAACAACGCTGTAGAAATCGCTGTCTCATCGAGGATAAAGCACCACACTACATTCAGGGGTAGAACCACCATCCATGTAGCAAAGAGAAATATGTTTTGCCAAAGGTCAAATCCAAAGGAATAGGGTGGAAATATCCCCCGCTTACCAGCAGAAGAAAGTTTAATAATTCCATGCCATGACATTGCAAAAATGCATCGGAGGCAGGAAAGAGACCTACACCAGGATGCTCATGCAGCAATAGCCTTTTTTTTGGGACCTCTCTTCCTTATGCAGATCAGAATGCTGATGAGGTTGATCCTCATTGGTCAAGCCAGTTGCTGTCTGGTCAGCCAGCCAATTCCTCATGGCCTGGGCCAGCTGTCCTATGACCCTTACTGGTCAAGTTATGTAAGTGAGGTAATTGTATAATCAATCACATAATTTAGTTATAGTTAGGATTATTTATAACTTATTTATAACTGACCTACAGGCCAGTTGTAGGTCACCACAGCTGCCCATCTTACTGGAGGTAATGAGCCCAATGAAAATTTAGTGGCAGTGAGTGGAAATTGTTTCTTCCAAACAGAAAATTCAGAACAGATAAAATAGAAGCTGTATATATTTAACAAGAAAGAAAAAAAAAAATGCAGGGGAATACTAACACTAATATTAAAGCTTCACATTTAATAATAAGAGAGTTACAATTTCCATGTGAATTTACAAATGCAGATAAAGTTATTTCAGTCTGAAAGTATTAGCAGATTTATTCTCAAATCATAACCTTGCCACAAATCCTACACTAGGATCTAAACTGTAACTCCACGTCCTCTATGTTGATACAAGGTGGGGTGGGACTGGATGTGCACACATCCTGTGAGCACAGGACCACGGCCAAGGCTGCCATTCAGATGCAACCTTGTTCTGTGACAGCCACATAGGAGGTATGAAAAAGGTAATGTCAGCTGAAGTGAACTGTGAAATAAGCTTTACAAAAAGCAGTGTCTGCTTCAGGAATGTTTGTTTTCAGAGTTTGTCTCAGCATGCACACTGTTCATTATTGCCAATCACCCTGTACCAATTACTGCAGCGAGACAATTCTGTGCTGTGATTGCAGCTGAAAACATAATCATCAAATATGTTTTCTATTCTTCAGTTCTCCTGTTCTCCACTCACTGAACTTCCTGAATACTTGGGACTGCATTACTTTCTTGGCTTTATATTAAATGGGAACATGCCCAGACACCACTTAGCAGACAATACCGTTTCTTCAGCTTTGACTGCTGATACAATTCTTGGTTTCTTTTCTTTTTCCTTTTTTTTTTTTTTTTTTTTGGTGGAGTCTTTCCTGCATAATTTAGAAATGTGTTCTCCATGAAATATTTAGACAGGAGCAAAAGAAACTGTGCTTTCAAATGGAGCAGGTTCCTTTGAAATGGAAACTAACCTGGAATAGGTTGATCAGAAGAATTACAGGCAGTAGTACAATGCCCTACACCCAGAAAATTGGAAGAATTTGTATAATAAGAAAAGTTTTAAAAGTTCCTATACAATTGCACCAGTAAGAAGATGAGAAACCCAGATTTTTTTTTTTCTTTTCTTTTTTTTTTCCTTATAGGAAAATAATACAAAGAAAAGGTCTGGTATCAGAATGCAATATAGGAACACTGGAAAAAAATTTTAGGGACAGCACATTTAAATGGACAGCACATTTTTTTCCAGCCTTCCTAAAAGAGAGTGCTGTAAAGAACACATTCTAAATTTCCCCAAAATTATTTTCTGCATCTGTGATATGTGAGACAAGTCAAGATAGCATCATAATTGTGAGGCAGACAAACATTCTCTCCTCATAATGGAAAATTCCAATAGCCTGAGACTTTTTAATTAGAGCACTGAATCTCTGCTGCTATACCAAGTTCCTTCTACCAGTGCACAGCTGATTTAGTGACTACCCAGGCCCTTCCTGCATTTGTTAAATCAAAGGTAAAGGAATTTTCAGGATTATTACTGAAATTCAATCTATTTAATGAAAGTTATAGCATTTTCTTCCTCCTCTTTTATAGAATACAGTTTTATAGGTAATTAAATTGAAGTATGATTTTGGACACATTTATGTTACAGTGCTGCTGGCTGCTGTTGTTGCAGAAGTGCAAGTGCTGTAGAGGGGCAAGAGATGCAGCTGCTCTGTCCATGGAAGCACTGCAGTGGTGATGACAAACAGGGAATTTTCTCCCACCCACGGCATAGAACACGCTGTCACACACTCAAGAAAGAGTTGTGCTCAAATGTTTCCTATGTAGTCGCTACCACAGGAAATTCAGTGTCAGAGCCACTGTCTAAGCCAAATCTGTCCAAGAAAGATAAAAAGATTCTAGTATTATTTACTTGATTGATTATTCTTTTGGGAGTTAAACAGACAGAAACCACAAAACACTGGCCTGTCTCCCCAGCATTTACTCAGTTAGCATTGCAGACTATGAGTCAGAGCGACCTTTTTCTCCCATTTCTGCATGTGAAACCTGAAGCACATTCTCATGGAGAACAAACAAATCCTTCTGCATCCTCTAAATATAGGTTTTAAATTGCTGCAATGATTGCCTTCTAGTGGAACTATTTCTGAGAAGCTGAGAAAAAAGTGGAGTCAGCAAGATCCCATTTTACTTCCTCTAGATTTTGCTTCTAAGAAAGCTCAGGAGGAGGAGAGTGACTTATTATAGGCTGAAGTAGGTTTTTCTGAGTGTGGTTATTTGGGGTATCCTCATCGCAGTCTTGGCTATAGATACTTTCAGATTTTATATGAAGCACTGTATTCCAGAAACACAGATTTGACTTAATATGAATAAGCAAATAAAAATGTCTTGAATTCACACTTAAGGAAGAGCAGGCTTTGTACACATCTTTGCTTTTCTACATTGCCCTCTGTTAGCAGAATGATGTCTGCAGCCTAGTAAGGCAGCCTTACTTTTGCTCTGTGGCCTGTTTTACACTCTGTGCACCACTTGCAGTGGTACCATCCCAGTTTTGTTTTTCCTTAACTGGAAATAAAGCAGCCCATTTTTAGCCTAGAAGATCTGGAAGGAAAACATAAGTCATGGCTCTGATATTTCTCAGTTCCTGCCTTCATTATTCCGAACCTCTGGCCAGCTGTAATTCACACATAAGGTCTCTTGTATGTTATTTTTCTGCAGGTTTTATGGAAGTAGGCAGGCAGGAAGAAGAGAGGAATACTATCTGTTCACCAGCTGAGCATCATCTTTCTTCAGACACTGGAGAAATTTTGTGCTAATTTTCCCTGTGGACAGTATTGAACAAAAAACTCTGCTCCAGGAACTCCATGTTATTATTGATGAGTTTGATAATAAGAGCTGGTCAGAGACCAAAGCTGTACTCTGCTGGGTTCTGCACACATTTAATCTCTGCTTCACATCTTTTATAAAACACAATTCAATAGAGGGCAAGAACAAGAGGCAGCAGAGATCAGCGAGGTGGGCAGTACCATGGGACGTGGCCTGCTATCAGTACCCCTTCAGTCACCATCACTAAAAAAAATGTTTAAAGGGGGTCAAAACAATTTTATTCTGTTTTATAGGTGGAAAAAGTTGTGGATAGTTAGCAATAGGGTGCACACCATCTGTCCTTTGCAGTCTCTGGATCTTTTGTATGTTGAGAGGCTATTTCCAAGAAAACACATCAACTGGAGACATCACTTCAGCCATTACCTGAAGAAGCTGGTCAAGTGACTACCATCATGCTCATGAAGATGTGATCTCTGGAGTTAGCACTGTGACAGGAAGGTTTGGAACCACCAGCAGTGATCGCAGCTGTTCTTCATCCCTATTTCCTGCAGACAGAGCATATGTATTAAGGGAGAAAGGCTGGGACTTGTTACTTGACTGGGTCCCACTGCCAGAGCACAGCAGGAATAGAGGCATGTAGTACCACCACCATGTCCAGGCACTTGGTGCTCTCCAAAACACCCGCTCTGTTGGCTGATGGTCATCATCAAATTTATGCCAAAATTGGGTGTAGCATGTAAGATAAAATTGCCTCAAACACCCTAGTGCTTTTGAAAAAATTAAACCTAGAAGAGAAATTTAACCTATGCACCTATGCACCTTTGTGATTTTTGCTGCTTTTTACATGCAAGCCAGACTAATGCCCCATTTCCTATCAACAAGTAAGCCTGAACTAACAGAATTAACTATGGGGTGGGGGGGGGGGGGGGGGG